TGTCTATGTAAATACTTTAAATGCTTCTCAAATACGAGTATATATCTGCATAATGCCACGTTTTCTAGTGGACCTATTTGAACGAGACTCATTAAACAATTTAAATGATTTCGCCAAGTTGCGCTATGGCTTCAAAATATATATCGAGATTTCTAACAGTCGCGCGAATGTGTTAAATACGAGTAAATCAAGTATTATTCCTGCTATACTCGCATGTACATATATTTGTAAAGATTTATGGCCTGGATTCTTTATCTATTTTATGTGTCACGGCAAGAGCTCAACTAATTTGAATATTTACTTTTCTATTTCAGATTAAATGTAATACACAAACATGTGACTATTCCAATAAATGCCGGAATCAATCAAATTAAAATTTGTTCGAACCGAAGGCTTAAATGAAACATAAATCTAAGAATAATTTTAATATGTATATAGATTTTATGGGCCACATCGAATTACGCGAAGGGATATCAATTAATGTGTTTGTTTGGAATCATTTGTTAAAAACTATGCGTCGAGTAAATTGGTTCCTATCAAGTTTTGAACAATTTATGGCGTTTCAGAAGAAATCAAATAAAGTATTTCGTGTGTATTCAGATCCGAGAATCTATGCAGTGCGAATGCTTTCTTTTTCTCATTTCATTTCATTTTTCTCTTCCTTTTCTTTTCTTAATAATCATCTAGATCAACGTCCTCCAGTGGCTCATCAGCTTGTAGCGATTGAAAGTCTACTTTATAGCGCAATATGCCTATATATATAGATTGAATTAATTTAAATAACAAATATATACATAAATATAAGTATATATATATATATATATATATATATGTATATTAAAACAAGTAAAGTTTGATGGTTATGCACAAGAGCGTCGTCAAGTTGACCAAGTTACATTTAGAGTTATGTTTAAAAGCAGCATGAAGGAAGAGGAGTGGAAACAATAGATACGTAATTAATTGTTTAGCTTACACTCGCACTATATACAGATATTTAAAAAATATATAAACCAGAGGCTGTTTGTCAACTACTTACCGCCAATGCCACCGAAACCTCGCACAAACTGGCTGCCCTCCTGAGATTTGTCCGTAATTATCTCAAGGGTGGCTCCAAACATTTTATAATTGTTCGCCAGCCATTCCAGAAGCGGTTGAGACTCAATTAACTCCATTTCAACTCCGCTCTGTAACAATTGAGTTTCAATTAGAGTTTTGTTTTAAATATGCAATTTTTAATCCGCGCACCTCCTTGTCCGTGAAGTGAGACTTATCTTTTTCCTGCTCGGGCGTCAAATGTAATACTGTCGTTGACGTCGAGTTCGCATGATTCTTCAGTACGTAGCGTTGTATATCCAGATTTTCCCAGCAAATCAAGGTTTCCACAGACCCCAGCTCCAATGCTCGCAAAGTATCTTCAACACCGAAACAGTATTTGCCAGTATCCTTAATATAAACATTATGATTAATATTAATAAGTTTTTTTGTTGTATTATTTACTTACTTGAGAAATTTCATCAAAGTAACGACCAATAAGTTTCTTTTCCTGTATGAATTTGACATTCTGCAACGATTCAGCGGCTAATTCGATCGCCTGATTGAAACCGTTCTCGCCACCATAGGACACGTCCACCAGCTTAATCACTTTTGATTGTAAACGCTGTAATTGTAGAAAAATATATTAGTTTACATGAAAAACATATACTGTATAGTATTGCATACGTTTCTGTTGATCATTCAGGATAACAATTGGGCTCCACTGGCTGCATGACTGACGATTTGAGAGCTATAGCGATTGAGCTTACGTAAACTTTGCTAGACGCATTTAACTGTGTGTCGGTCGGTGAGGCCAGTGGAAGTAGCCCTTGGGATCTAGCTATGCTTGAGCAGTGTTGGATTACTTACAGGATCAAACATGTCCGATTGGCTGAGCTCAGTTTTGAAGTCCGCACTACCAGCCAAAATGAGGCCAGCAATGTTTGGCTTGTCATTCGTAATGAACAGCTGTGTGGCAACCTCGGCCACCTTGCGCACATAATTGTGCCGCTTCTCCATACGCAGACGGGCGAAACGAAGCGCAGACTGACCACCACGCCCGTGCTTCTTCGGCAGATCGACAGTGAATTTGTGAAGCACCTCGCGCGTATTACCCTGCAGGGTGCCAAAGAGAGCGCCGTTACCATCCATCACAATGAAGCCGAACTTGTTGTCGTCGGCAAGCAGGGCAGTGAGTGCCTCCGTATGGAACTTGTTGTCACACAGATACAATGAGGTATTAATGGGCTTGAATGGCTCAAAATCAATGTTCACTTTCTTCTCTTTGCCCTCCTCTGTGACAATTGTGCCGCAATAAATGACTAAACCATTGGGAGGCACTACAAGACAAAGCATTAATCATTAATTGACTGATATTAGTACTAGATAGAGTCAACAACTTACCTTTGGTGTATAACTTAAGTCTGTGCTGCACCGACGTGATTGCGCCCAGGACGGAAAGGCGATTGACACGCGACTTGATGTTGGAGGCCGTACCAAATTCATCGGCCAACATTTTGCTGACGCGAGAAATTTGATCTTTAGGCGGAATAATCAATGAAATCATGCTGGTGCCATTTCTGCAAAGAAAATATACAAAATGCATTTAATATATAAAGCTACAAAAGTTAATTTAACATTTATATTTAAAAAAAAAAGAAGAATGGAGAAAGTGATCCAAAAAAACACCACAAATATTATGTTACTTTTCCGAAAAGATCGATTACAAACAACTTGTAATGACTGAAAAGAAATATTGAAGAGCAATGGGAGAAAACATCGCTAGTAGTTGTTATCAACATATATAAATCAAATACGATCACTATCTACCAATTCGAACACAAGCACACTTTAACCTATCGATATGCAGATCAAGTGCATACGATATTTTTTTTATGTGACATCTCTACCTGGCACAATGCCGTCGCTTCAGGTGGCTAGCACTCGTTGTGAATGTCAAATTGCAGCACCTCGCAAGATTGATTTGTTATGGTTTGCAAATACAAATTTGACCTTTTTACAGTAAACCAAATCATGAATATTTTAACAGAAAAAAGAGATAGAGACAGAGAGTATACCATCTGTATATTAATGCAAATAAATTGTTAATGCAACTTTTCGTTGCTAAATTCAATATGCAAAACGAAAGCATTTCTCACCAAATAAAAGCATTGTTTAGTTTTGGTGCCAGCAAGGCATTAGCATTAGCATTAGCTCCACGCATTACTCACAACTCGATTGCTTTGTTGCCTCAGACTGTCTGGTTTGAACTGATAAAAACCTGACAAAAACGTGTTGCTCTCCCCACAATGTATTTTTGCGAAAATAAGAGCGCGAAAGAGCGCCAATAACACACTCCAATCGCTGAGAGCCGTTTGAGCAATGCGTGTTTGTGTGCTTGTGTAGGTGATTGTGTGGGGCAACGCCACACAGAGCAATAGGGCTTTTGTTTGTTACCAATGCCAGCCACGCATCTCAATCAAAGTGGTTTGATCCAAAACATTACTATTTCTAACCAATTCAAACAAGATATTGATCACATTGCTACGTAAGGAGCTGCAATACCTAAAGTAAATCAGCTGCAAGATAATTTATACTCTTTGATGACCCACTCCCTTTTTTTCGCACTTTCATCGCCAATTGACGGCCGACAACATGGGGTGAGTCCAAAATAACAATCGGATATTCGACTCACTCCCCTCCTTTTCGGTGTACAGCGACGGCGCGCTGCAAGGCTAGCTTCTGCCCCCCTAACCCAATACTTTCGTATGTACCAACATATATCAACAGAAAAAATAACAAATTCCAGTTGACAAAATATGAGAACTACGTGCTATATAGGCTGGCTTACTTACCCACGTGCCATCTCGAGGCTTTTGATGAGCTTCTTTATTTTCCATATTTCGACATTGCGATCAGCAGACGTTTCTTCGCCAGACATTTTGCGTATTTATTGCTATTTATTTACGGTCCTTTGTGCAAATTGGGAATCAAAAGAACGGGTCTGTGGCCTGTGCTCCTTTATTTGCCTTTGTAGACTATTCACTTGCACTGCCAGAAGTGGAAATGTAACGAAAATTGTTGTTTTCAATTTAAGTTTCAGTTTTGTGATTGTGTTGCCTTTTTTGTATTCACATTCACGTTCTTCCTTTTAACGTGGTTGGCGATGAATACACTAAAAAATAATTACATACAAAACATAAATATGTATATGTTTTTGTAGATGTATATGTAGATGCATATGTAGATGTAGATGGATATGTAGGTGTAGATGTTGTGTACATGCATATGTAAGTAATATAAAGAAAGCTGAAGCAAAATACGTAGACAACTGATAGAAAGTCTAATCGGAAAGGGTTATTTACAATTTTGGATAAAGTTAAAACACAGCTTTTTCAAATTTGAGTTTCTTTTTCATAAAACGATATCAAAATAATATTTAAACTTGAGTTGAAAATCAAATTCATTATTTCACTTCACTAAGGAGAGAATGAGAGCAGAAGACTAAACGCGAATAAGAGAGCGGGAGCGGGGCTCCAAAGGTGACGTCGACACAAAAATCATTTCGCAAGCACATACAAAATTAATTAAGTAACCCAAATAAGTTGGAATTTAATAGGTATCGCGTTTTAGAAGACCTTGTTGCACTTTTTTGATATTAGTAATATGATTTAAGCTATTATAATTGAAATATAAAACTTTTTACGTACAACGTGCGCACAAAACCCACTCGGATCTAGTGTGACCGAATGTTGAAAAGAAATAAATACTGAAAGCCAGCGATTCAGCTCATATTTGATTGGACTTGGTTCCATTTCCTATGAATTTCTTTTAAAAATGCAAAATTTTCGAAATTTGGGTTATTTTAATTTATTGAATTTTGTATACTGATAAATTGTAGAATAATTAAGTCATTTATTCCATAAAAGAACATTAAATCACGATTCTTATTTTAAGGAACCTGTCGATATTTAAACATGTCTATCGATTACAAACAATTTAGGTGAATGTCATTAAAGAAGAAGAAACCCAAACATGAATTTAGAACTGCTTGGTGGGTTTTGCGCTAATTTATTAAAATAATATATTATTATACATATTTTTGTTGCTTTCTAGAATCTTTTGGCCAAAACTATCCCGAGGAATTTGATGGCTCCCTGGATTGCATATCGCTAGCTGTTACCTGTGCCTTTAATAAATATGGAACTTTACTGGCCGTCGGCTGCAATGACGGACGAATTGTTATTTGGGATTTTTTGACGCGCGGTATAGCAAAAATAATATCAGCCCACGTACATCCTGTCTGCAGTCTTAGCTGGACTAGAAATGGCCACAAAGTGACAATTACAATCTTAGTTATTCGTAAATCAATATGCTAAATTATGCTTTTCATTCCTAGTTACTCTCTGCTTCCACTGACAACAATGTTTGCATATGGGATGTGCTTACCGGTGAATTGGAACACAAATATCGCTTCCCTTCACCCGTTCTAAAGGTGCAGTTCGACCCACGCAACGACAGCCGCCTGCTTGTCTGCCCAATGCGCTATGCAGCTGTTTTAGTTAAAATAGCAGGCTCACATCGCTGCCTCCCACTGGATTCTGATGTAAGTTTTCCTGGCAGACCAACAAAAATTCGGAGTGTCAGCTTTTTGATTAGCTCCGAAAGTAGACGAAGATTTACGTATAACATTGTATTTCTTTTGACAGGGCGATTTGAATATAGTTGCGTCGTTTGATCGACGCGGTAAACATATATACACCGGCAATGCGAAGGGCAAAATCCTTGTGCTGGACGTGGAGACATTTGAGGTAGTCGCCAGTTTTCGGATTATTGTAGGAACATCGAGTGCAACGGCTGTGAAGAGCATTGAATTCGCACGTCGCGGGGAGTAAGTGTGATTGTTTGTCCAATTACCTAATAAACTTAACCACGAAACTTTCTTTTTTAGCGCCTTTCTCATAAACACATCCGATCGTGTGATCCGCGTTTACGATTCTAAAGAGATTATCGCATTGGGCAAAGATGGCGAGCCAGAGCCCATACAAAAGCTACAGGATCTGGTCAACAAGTATGTTCTTTGCCCATTTATCCCACCCCTCTCATAGTAATTCTTAATTGTAGAACAACGTGGAAGAAATGTTGCTTTTCTGGCGATGGTGAATACATTTGTGCGGGCAGCGCTCGACAGCATGCATTGTATATTTGGGAAAAGTCAATTGGAAATCTTGTCAAGATTTTGCATGGCACCAAAGGAGAGCTGCTGCTGGACGTTGTCTGGCATCCTGTGCGTCCAATTATAGCTAGTATTAGTTCAGGATTAGTCTCGATATGGGCACAGAATCAGGTGGAGAATTGGTCAGCTTTTGCGCCTGACTTTAAGGAACTGGATGAGAACGTTGAGTATGAAGAAAGAGAGTCTGAATTTGATATTGCCGATGAGGATAAGTCGGTGGACTTGAATGCTGATGCTCAGCAGGACGAGGAGATTGAGGTGGATGTACAAAAAGTGGAGCCGGTTGCAGCATTTTGCTCCTCTGACGAAGAGGGCGAAGATGAGAATGCCTTACAATTCCTGCCCATGGCACCCGAGGTGGAAGATCCCGAGGATAGCTGGACAGATAATCCAGATCCTCCCTCAGCTTTAGTGGGTAGCGATTCACGTGACTACGAGGAGGACATAATGGCTTCAAAGCGCCGGCGCATGCAACACTATGATGTCAGCCTGCCCGACGCGCCTACCGATGGTAAGTAAATAGCAATTCATGCTAGAGATAACACAATCAGCGGCCTCACTTTTGTTTTTCTTTTAGAAACACATCCGCTCATTTCGAGCAAAGCCAGCAAAGACAAACAACAACCGATTGGAGGGAAAAAGGCTGCTGGGCGGGCGAAAAAATAAGAGTTGATTCGCATTTATAGTTTATTTAGGTTATGTCATTAAAACGAAAATATTCACTTGACTTAAGCCGCTTTTGGATTTCTCACTTGGCCAGCGAAGAGCAGCAAATTGGTTGACTTATCCACAATCATGTAGAGGAAGGGTCGGTTTAAGTAAAACTTTGGCGGTGATGACTTGTTGCTCAGCACGGCCGAAGTGACAGCCGCTGCTGTGGTTCCCTTCTCGTCCACAATGATTTTGGTGGCATGCACACAGAGCTTGGCGAACAAGCCATCGGCCATGCGACTTAGATTTGAGCGACTCTGATCGAACAGATCCTGGATGCCCATCTGTAACAATCATTCTGTATATTTAGAGAACTACAACCGGCTTTGATGTCCACTCACCTCTTGCAGTAGTTGCCTTAGATTAAAGTCCGTCGTCGTTGTAAACTTGGGCAGCAAAACTTCCACCACATTGTCCTCGTCCGCATTACGGGCAAAGTTCTCCAGACGCCTCAAGACCGGTGATAGACCCAGGACCATTAGGTTTTTGGTTACATCGTTGAGATTGAAGCCCCGCTTTGGTAGCACAATAATCATGGAGAGACGATTCTGTTCACCATACGGCAGCTCCAGTACGTAGCCATCCAAGCCCTCAACGTTAGTGACATAGGCAAAGTTGCCCTCCTGCGACATCATCGATACCTGCCCAACGACTTGTCCCTGCTCATTATAGAAGGACTCCTGACGCGTTGCACTTACATTGAAAGGGTACTAGGAGTAAATTTTGTATTTACGGCATATGTATATCGACATATGGGTAATCTGTGTATCACCTTCCACTGGCCCTTGAAGTACAGCGACGAAAGCATAAACATCTTGGCGCCATAAATCTCCTGAGGCAGCACGGCATAGGGTATGAGGCCACGGGTGGAGCGATTTGTGGCATCATTGATTAGGAATATTGTCTCGCGGTTGTAGAAATCCACCTCCGCGGGCTGCACACCATATGATTTCGAAACCTCTCTGTAAGTGCTCTTAACCGGTGTCTTTGAGTCCGTGTACAAGGCCTGAAGGGAGGCCACCTCAATCGCGGAGCTGTTGGTGCTGCATGGGGAAAGATAATGTTAATAACAAGAGCTCCGCAGTTGATTACCAAATACTGGGCTTACTTGAGAAAGCTGCTCCACACACGGTAGACGGCGCGCAGCTTCTCGTCGTCTACATTGATGCGCAGCGCCTTACGCAGCTGCTCATAAGTCTGTCCGCCGGCGCCCTCGTACAGCAGTATCAGCAGCGACCAGACCGAGAAGGGAGATACCATAAAGTCGGCGTTACGTTTGGCCACTACCACGGAGATGCGATTGAGGAAGTCGAGTCCAAACTGCTGTGAGCTCTGCGCTACGCTGCGCAGCGTCTCCTCATCGAAGTTGGAGCGCAGAGCGTATTCCTGACCGCTCTGAGACTGAAAAGCTGCCGCCGGCGTCAGCGGCTGCAGATCGAAGCCAACGGAAAGCTGTGGGAGACGCTGTTGAGCCCAGGAAATGGAGCAGAGTAAGAGGGTTGTAGCGAGAAGACGGCAGACACAATCTGAAATTTATGAAAGCGATAATATATAGTTGATATAGTCGATGGAAGTCTCCCAGAATCTACATACTTGCATTAATTACTTTCAAGAATATAGCATTAATTTGAATTAATTCTTGAAAAGAATTACGCAGAGCTTAAATGGGTTTTACCTATGACATTCATCTTGAGATTCCTTTGTGTTCGTCTCAGATATTTTAGGAATTGATATTGATATGTCTCTTATTTCGGTATTGATTCGCAACTCGAGTATGTTGTGAGAACAGTTTAATTTATGCGAATTTTTCCGTTTTCGATTGGGATTTTTGTCTTGTTTTGAATTTAAAATAGTCTCTGACGTCTCTCTCACGTCTCCCTTGTCATCGCCTTCGCCTTGTCGTCGTCGTCGATTTGTTGATTAATCCAAAACCGGAATGCAGTGTAGCTCGCACTAAATACATATAATAAGTAAGCATATATACATATATTTATATATATATATACGCAAGTCAATATTTTATATATACAGATACTTATCTGCGTATAAGACGCTAGTATCTTGTGAACTTGTTATAGTTTATATAATATGATTTCTTATTTTTATAAGTGATTCCAAAATATCATCAAACTCCGCACATACCCGAGAGATCCGATGCCGTAGAAACCAATTAAGCAACTGACACTGGACTAAGGCCATTGAAACATATGCTGATAAATGTGCACACACACACGGATTCACACGAGCACACGTAACACATACATATGCAGTCTTACGCGAGATCACAAACAGAGAAAGAGAGAGCGAGTAAGAGAAAGAGAGAGAGAGAGAGAGAGAGAGAGAGAGAGTAGCATGGGAACATTGGTGTTTTGTCTATTAAAAACCAAACTTAAAGTAAATATTAATTGGCTAAACAACAGGCGGGTGAGTAAAGTTTCCGCAATAAAACAAATGGATTTCAATTGCGCATGGTTAGTCACTCGCTTGATTGAAATCAAAGCTCAGCTTCATTTCATGAATGAAATGATCATTATATAAGTGGGAAATAGATGGAGATTATAATAAAAAATCTTAGCCTAATTTAACGTTATCAGTAATTTTAGTATAAAAAAAAATTTTTTTAAACACAAATTACTTTTCAATAATTTTAAAGTTCCGAGTTAGTTTAATGGTGCACACAAAATTAGGCAATCGTTTTTATCCGCTTAGCAGCGCCATCTATGTATCGACAGTTGTTAGTTAAGTTTAAGCCACCTTTTTAGGTTTATGTCTATGCTTAAATTAAACGGATAAGAACCTTCAGAATTATTATTGTGAAACGGAAACATGTGGCTTGGAAAGTTAATGTACCAATGATTGTTAAATATATATATATGAGAAAATTAATAGATCGTAAGTAACTGTAAGCACATATAATGATTAAAACAATTATTTGATACTAATATTTGAAATATTAATAGATATAAAAATAACAATTTTATAAACTTTTTTCATTGACACTTATCTCGTAATAAATATTTCATTTAACAAATCAATTTTGCTCCCAACGTCTTTAAATGGAACTAGTAGCGCTGTTTGCAGAAAAGCGCTAAATAATACCGAGAAAAATACACAAACAACGTAACGTTTTGTTTGTCGTTACATTCAACAGCGTATCTCCGAAAATGCCATAACGGCGTTTTTATCAACAACTTCGCTTAGTTAGTCGATGGGATCGCGCGGTGAAACTACTACGTGCTGCACAAACTTGCCGGAGCAAACGGAGTAAAAGAAAAATCACTTTGATAGTTAAAGTACACACACGCACACATATGTATGTTTTTATAGTGCGTGTGTGTCTGTCTAGTGATTGTTTCGTTTAAACACTTTGCATATTGTAAAAGAAATAATGTGCGATATTTAGCATATTTAAAGGAAGCGAGGCGACGTGAAGCGAAGCGAAGTGAAGTGAAGTTTTTTATTCTGAGAGCTGGTTGCAGTTAACGGATAACGGTAAAATTAACGTGAAAGTGGACAGTGCAAAAAGAAACAAAATGCTTGTTTTTTGTATTGTAGCTGTATTAAATAATACATTTGCATTGGTGAAAGTATGTTAACTGCTACGCTTATGCACGAGCCCAAAAAATACAAATAAAAAAAATTATTGAATTGAACGTCGGTCGGCCAATGAAACATGCAACAAGGCACAAAAAGACGACAAGACCTGAACTTCAGAGAGTGCAATAACAACAATAACAACAACAGAAACAACCAAATAATGAAAACTTGCATAAAAGAAATTATTAACTTTGACCTGAATACGTAATAAACATACACACACACACGTCTATATATAGATTATATATAGGATGTTGGGCATAAACAGTTACTTTTTTAATGTGAATGCTGCAAGTGCAATACGTGTTGCTGACCATGTTTGTTGTTGCTGTTGCTGTTACTTTTGTTGTCATTGCTGTTGCTGCTGCTGCTGCAGCAAGTGACTCAAGTGTTACGTTGTCCAAGAAATTGATAACCAGATTTTTCACTCACTCACATACACATACATATGGGCACACACACGCACACATAGCCATAAATGTTTGGCTGTAAATATGCTTTTCGAGTCATGTGTATTTGCACAACAGACAACAAAAACCGGCGCGAAAGCCAATTGATTGCGCAAAAAAACTGACCCCAGACAACAACAACAGCAGCAGCAACAACAATAGTAGTAGCAACAAAAACAGCAACATTACTGTAAACATAATAGATGCGTTGGGTCAGGGCAAGGTCAACACAATTAATGCAGCTCCACTTAGCTTGAACTTTCAAGAAAAACTTTGCAGAAGTTTCATAAAAAAAGCTTGAAAAAACAAAAGACTTGCGACACGAACTTGTTGCGCAGTCCACACACTTGATATTTATATCATGTACTTAAACAAACACACAGGCAAATGTATATAAATTATATAACAGCGGCGGCAGGCCAATTGGAACACACAAAAAATTACAAAAATTGTAAAAAAAAAAAAAAACCAACATTTTGATATAAAAAATTCCAAGACAAATTTGATTATATTTTTTTCATTTGAAAGTTTTTTTTTCACCCAAAAAATATGCTAATTAGGCCTCTGAAAAATATCATTTATAGTTTATATTTCTTTTTTGCTTTTTTTTCTATGCTTTTATTTGTCACAGCTGCAAATAATTTATGTGCGCCAAATTGGCACAAGCTAAAAAGTGGGAAAAAATAAACAAAAACAAAAAGAAAAGAAAAAGAAACAACAAATTGCAAGTGACATTGACAAAGGAACAAGATGAGCAACAATGCCTCGCTTTTTGTTTAAATGCAAAATTATTGTTCGATACTTTTTTTCCATAGTAGGCGTTTTTTTTCTGCTTCTTCTTATTCATTTTGTTGGCATTGTCATTGTAAATGCTTAGCTTGTTTGTTATAAATAGTCAAAATATGTTTTTAAATTGCACAATGTTTTTTTTTTTTTTTTTTTTTAATGTTTTTTTCTTTAATAATTTCTT